ACCAAAGTACGCTCACGCAAACCAATACCACTTTCGGAAAGGTGATAGTTGCCCTTATCCGATGATGTTGTTGGTTTGCGTGTTCGTACTTTGGTTCGCGTGTAAAGGGCTTTCGAAAGTTTGTTTACAAATGCTTTTGTGCCGTTATCAAATGTTATGCCTGATATGGTGTTTGTAACCTGCGTGTTACAATTTATCCCGTTTTGTGTAGTTTTGCCACCGAGTGTAATATTGCCGTATTTCACACGAGCGTGTGCCGTGTTTGTAATGCTTTGTTTTCGTTTTCATTGCACAACCGGCGACATACTCATCACATTTTTATGTTGTTAATTTAGTTAGCTAAGGATAAAATTATCGTTTTATGTTGTCTCGCGTATTCAATAAAGTTAAGACCTGATTCTCCTCCCGCTGTAAACGAAGGCGAAAAACATAATCAACATAACAGTCGAGCGCGGTTGCAGAAGCGATGGCGGTTTTGTTTTTGGTTTTGGGGACGTTGTGAAAGAACCAGGAGAACATTTCGAGCCACGGTGGAGTCTACGCGGGTTTTTCGTTCGGAGACGTTTTTTCCTTAGTCTCGAGAAAACGGACTTTACCTGGGAAAAGTTTGCCCAGCCGCGACGCGAGTGCCAGTACGCATCTTCCCAGTGCACCGCGAGTGGAAGCCGGCCCCGTGGCTGCAAAAATTAGTGTTGTTGAGTGCAACAGAGTGTCGGATCGCCATTGTGGGAAGCTAAACACTAAGGAGCTAATCGCTTCTCCGGCTAACCACAAAGGATCCGGTAAACCCCCGCCGTTCTGACTGCGGTGGCTCAGTCAATATAGCCAGTCTCGCCACCGCAGTTAACCGTCAAGCAGGACGAAGCAGGCAGTTCCAGAGGTGAGTTCGCCTGGGCAGAAAACACTGCGGTGTCTGCCGGGGTTGCCTACGGCGAGTAGGCAATCCGGTTATTCGTCATCAACGTCGCCGGGGGGGCACCGAACAGCAGCAGCAACAGCGAGGAGGAGAAGATAAGTAGCGAATAGACGCCTAACATTGATTTCCTTTTTGTTGTATAGTTGTTTCACCCAAATCCGAACGTCTTTGGGGGAAGTACCCTTGCTCGAGGCCGCCCCGCCGGGGTAAAATCAGGCCAGCTATAGGCTGGCAGGTAAGCCGTAGCTTACATGTTGACTCGCTCGAATCGCTATAATGGGTTAACCGTCAAACACCTCCACTTCCGTATTAAGGACGAGAACAGTGTGCTGTACATTACAGCAAAACAAGAAGAAGTCAGAAGATCAATAATCCTTTATTCTTCCGAAGCCATAGCCAACAACGATCAAGCAGCGAACCAACATGACGACCATCGAACGGCTGAAAATGAACATTCAAATTTATTTTAAATAATATTGTAAGGCCTTCTGTACCATAGCTAACTTTGCAACCAATACAGTAACCCTTCCTTATATACGGTGGGTGGTAAAGTCCACCCACCGTTGTTTTTCGGCTGTCCTTCAACAAATTACGCTGATTTTTTGTATATGATTAGTGTCAACCACAGAAAATCAGCTCAATTGGTTGAAGCACAGCCAGAAAATAGCGGTGGGTAGACGGTACCACCCACCACATATATGCAGAGGCTACCAATTTCCAAAGAAAAACCTTGTTGTCCGCCCGCCATATTTTTTTGAAAGTAGTCCGCCTTTCTACAGCGCTGAGATTTTTTTTTTCTTGTTGGGTATATTCATCACTGCGACCATTACTTTGATCTATTGTGTTATTCCCCGTTTTTATATTGCTTTATCAGTTATTTCGTATCACTATTTTGTGAAGCGACCGACATAGACTGACCAAAAGCATTTTCCCAGCCAGGTATTACATTTCAAATGAAATGTACTACTTGACTGGGACCTGCATTCCAAATATCAAAGGTTTCTGCCAGTCCCTTATCCAGAAAAATACGCCTTTTATTGAAGATTGCTGTACAAGAGCATAGCAGGTGTTCAGAGTCTTCCTTTTCTATGCCACAGAATCGACACATATCCTCTTGAAGTTTTCCTATTAACTTCAAATGATATTAACATGTACAATGTCCTGTTATCAAACCAGTATAGACACTGAGATCTTTGTTTGATAATTTAAGAATTTTGCTTGTCATTGAAATGAACCGTTTCGACTGCCTAGTAATGGAAGCGTTGTACCAATTGGTCTCCACTTTCATTTTTTTCCATTTTAAGAGCTCAAGCAGTAACTCCACAGAATAATTCTGGTTCCATGAATTGCTGAGATGATCCTAGGCTGGCTAATAGACTGATGCAAAATTTGAAATTATCGCTCCACAGTGCCCTGATTAGCCTCCCAAAATTTGAACTCATTTAGTGAGAAACTAACTTGGCACAAACCATTTGAAGTTTATATGGGAATACTATGAAAAAACCATAATTTCAGCTCATATCTATCTCAACATTCACCAGTTCACTCTACTTTAGAATATGATAGCTCAGCTTGTTGAAAATTTTCCCAGCTACAACTTTGTTGAACACGACTATTCAAACAAATGTAAGGAACACAAATTATTAATGATTCAAGTCACTGATGTCTTATGATTATGCTCAATCAACTGTTCAGCCAGGCTACATTGGTGTTTATGGCGCGTAGAATACAGGACAAAAATCATGGCTACTAGGTCACACTGCAGAATACAGTGTTGCCCACAATACAGTTAATTAATCTTGCTATAAGATTATCAATCTCTTAAACAATTAATAACTATTTAATTTGACGTTTGACTGAAAAACAATTTTCTCCAAAGTTGTAGCTGATAAAAGTTCCCATAAGAAGAGCAATTGATTTTATTAACAAAACAATATGTAAAAAGGTTAAAAGACAATGAACAAAAAGCTTTGTTTTCCAATAGTAATTTGCACATAAACTTCAAATGGTTTGTGCCAAGTCAGTTTCTTATCAAATGAGTTTAAACTTTCTGAGCAAATCAGGACCCGATTTGAAACCGTTTGAGTACTGTGGAGTGAAAATTTCAAATTTTGCATCAGTCTACTGGCTAACGTGTCGGCTTTTTCATTCCTTTCAATTCCACAGTGGCAAGGAACCTAATATAGGTTTACTTGGTTTTGACAGATCAATTTCTGAAGTGACATTGCACATTCCCATATGAGTTTTGAATGGCATGTTGCTGATTTTAAAGAATTTAACGCTGCTTGAATATCAGGCATAATGCAGTTATTCGAATGTTTATAATTTCTGCGCAAGCATATTACAGGGCATTCAGGAATTGCTTGAATTTCTGCTAGGAACACGGTTGGCCAGTAACCCTTAGATATTGAGATATCTATCCCTGGACCAGTTACCCCTGCTCCCACACGATTGTTCAATCTTGAACCGTCTGTATAAAAAAAAACAGTTGAACCTGGACTGATGTTTGGTCTCCCACTTTCCCAAACATTACGATCAAATTCTGCTGCATTGTATAAACGATCGAAATTATATTTTTTCTCCATCCAGCCTTCATTTTTTAATACAAGAGAATCAATATCAAACATTTTTTAAATACTAAGGTGTCCTGTAAGATCACCTTCAAGGAAGTACTTTGTTCGTTGAACCCTTAAAGCGCTCCTTTCAGCTTCTAATTGGATAAATTGAACAGCAGCAGATAAAGTAGAGCATCTAGTGACATACTCGGTGTGCTGTTCATTGCACCAGTTATTGAGAGAGTAGCAAGTCTTTGTAGTCCCCCCAGACGTTGAGATGTTAGTTTACCTCATAATTTAACCAAACCTCACTTAGAGGCACTTGTGAGATCCCCTTGGTCTTATTTTTAAACTTTCAATTTAACAAATCGTTCTTTTTCAATTAATTTAATCGTCGTTTTGTTAAATCTTCATATAAATTCATTGACAATGTCATCTTACTATGAACGACTCGCGCTTCGATCGACACTTCTTCAGGCGATTACACTTATCTCCAATTACAACGATTAAGTCTTATAAAATAACTTAACATGCACAAGAAGAAGATGATTACAGTACAAAAGAATGCCATAATCCAAAGTAATGTTTCCCATTTTTAGATCCACTATCATCATTCGTAGTTCCACATATGTGAATCCCCCACTGTCAAAAGAAGGCTCCTACTAGTAGTTGGAAAGAGAGAAATACATGAAACAACCGATAAAGATATTGTTAAAGAGTGTACGGAGGCATAACAAGTTCAGATTGCAAAAACTTAATCAGACTTACGAGCAGGTTTCCGACAAACTAGCTTCTTCCACACACTTTCCCCGCGATTGTTATTTCACCTCTTCAATGGGTGATCATTGGATATTCTCCGATAAATCTCATTGCTTACTTGGTGCCAACACTTAGGTTATTCGTTTGTAATATTTATTGATCTGGCTGCAATTCCAGTGTTAACTCATTAATTTGTTCGTAAAATACATCCTGCAAATCGAAAACATAAGGGGTGGTTACAACCCTCGAAGCTCTATCGGACACTGGCAGAAGATGAAACCAGAGAATAGAGAACGTTGGAATCCTCTCCCACTTTGCTTTCTCCATAAACACGAGAGAACGAAGCTTTCCGAGAGATCATTATCGAGCGCATACAGTGCATGGAGCTTTCCGGTGCGCGGAGTTCGTTGAGCATGACATTCTGAGCAATTCGTGGGGAAACGTTTGCAGCATAGAGGCTTGTGCTGCTCGCTGTCTATACAACTGCTTTTTTTTAAGACTTCTACTCTCTCCCTCTCAGAAACGTGTTGAGCGCGTGCCGGGGCCGGCGGAAGTAGTTCTCGGCTCGATCACATAGAGATGATGACGATGATCTTAACGGAGGAGTGTAATACAGGGCGTTCAGTTTTTTGTTGTTGTTCTTGCTGCTACTGTTTATTAATGTGTGTACTTGTTTCCTAGTAGTAACGACGACGAAGCCTTCATATATAAGTACAGAGGTTAGTGATGCTGTACTCCTATTTTCTCGGTTACTTCCAAGCGACGAGGATCTCGTTCCTCGTGGTTTCGCGTTTAATTTCGAGTGTTTACTGTTACGAACTGTGAAAGTGGATGAGTTCTGTTTTTTGTGTGGATACGTACTGATTGTGCCTTATGGAAAATAAGTTAAACGGCAAATGATTGTGATTGGATTCGAGATCAGTAAACAATCACAAAACTAGTGTCCAGTGAATGTATCGGCGAAAGACGAAATAGTGAAGAATTAGAGTTTGATTTTTTTTTCATTCTGTTGTGCATGTGCGAAGTGAATTATTTAGGCAATCAGTTTGCATGAATGAATCAAATCGATTATCTTATCTGCTGTAACTTTGCGTGTTTTGTTGGTGCCGACTTGTTGCAGATCTACAGAAGTTGATAACTGTGGATTAAAAAAGCGTTTCAGTTATTTAAGGTTATTTTATTAGGAGTTGGGTAAGTCACAATCTAGTTTCTAAGAAACGTTCTAACATTCTGATTAATTTTTTGATTCGAGCTTTTTTTGTGAATTTGACCATTTAGATTTTGTTTCATTTCTTCTATAACAGAATAGTTTTCACAGGGAAAAAGAAACTTCAATAAAAAGGTTGTAAATTTCAATTAAATTGTATTTTTACAGTGTTGTCATATTTAATTACAGCAATATATTTCATAATCGTCAATCGGTAGAATATGAAATAAGTTTTCATTTTAAGTTTCTAAAGCTTGGAAATTGAACAACATTTGTTCAATTACTGATAAAGTTTTTTAAAGGCAAAAATGTAAACGAATAAAATATTATTTTAAATAATCATAATGGCCAATAAATCTGCTTCCTCGGGAGCAATAAACAATTGAAAACGAGCAATAGACTAGTGGAGAGTAGCATTTAAAAAGTTTCAATAGAAAATATTGTTTTCGCTAATAAAACCGCAAAAAAGCATGAATGAAATGAAAAGTTGCAACTGACAATTCAAAGGTAGTAATAGAAAACATAGACAACATCTTGAATATTCCATAAATAATTGACAAATTTCCAAATAAAATCAAAATGAGCATTGAAAATTTGAAAGGTGCCAATGTTATTTTGGATTAAAAATTATTAGTTTGACTGATTCAAATTGAAATCAGAAATCTTAATAAGTGGATAAATATTTGAAATCATAGACTTTCAAAAATCCATGATAAATTGATCTTCTTCGAAGTAATGTAAATTTTACACAAACTCAGAATTATTTTTAAAATTCTCTAATTGACTTCTATTTTTTCAACAAAAATTAAACAACTAATTGGGAAATTATTGTGTTTTTCCATAATTTTTATTAACGTTTTTTAAATGAATTTACAAACAATGGACAATTATTTTCTTCAGTGAATATTTTTTTCGCGTTTTAAAATCACTTCTCTGCAACTCGTTGTGAGATACTATTTCGGTACAATCAATAGTTGTTTAGATACGTTTTTAGAAACATAGTGCCAATGAAAATACATACGCCCTTTTAAAATATGACGCTTGAGCCAAAATGGTCAAAACAGCTTTGGATGATTAATATTCCCTTCTATCGAAAACATAGACGATGTTTTTTTTAAATCGGAAAGGTTTGCGTCAGATTTGAGCTTTTTAAGAAGATTTCACGTTGAACTGCTCTATGTTGCTATGGTTATCTATTATTTGTTTGTTCCTAAAAAATACCATGTGGTTTTATCACGTCAAGAGACCATTTCGACTTAATAGTATTTAATTGAATATTTTTTGCTATAAGGTTTTAGAAGAAGAAGCATAATAAGAAGAAGGGAGTTAATTAGGCTTAGTGGAAAATTTAAATACGTTTATCTATATTCTTTTAACATCATAACCAAGTTTTGCTTATTAATTGTTAAAAATGTGTTAATTTGATCTTTTTTTTTATTTTGTTAACATTATGCATTATGCATTAAGCGATTATGCTGTACAGGGTGCGACAGGAAAAATTGCGAATATTTGTGGTATTTGTTTCAAATACCATTTTCAACTACTTAAGGAATAATATCAACGTTTTCGAGTTCAGTTATCTTTATTAGGTCCTTTCAAACAAATTTACTCAATTTTTATCAATGACATCCTCAAGACGATGTTGGAAGCTAGAACACGCCTTTCGAACGTAGTCCTCTAACATCGACTGCCACGTGCGCGTCTTCACACTAGGGTGAGATGCTTTGCAGGCTTGTGCTTCAAGATACGCCAAAATCGATTAATCCAACGGGTTAAGGTCCGGACTGCTATGGTACCACAAATATTTCGGCCAAAACTTTATCCTGTTGTAGAACAACGTATTGATCCTCAGAAAAGTTGGCTTTCACCCAGGGAAGCACTTGATCCTTCAAAATACCGCTATACACTTCGGTATTGATTTTAAAACCAGCATCAATGCAAACAGGCGGCGTTTTCAAACCGTTGGTTGCCACTAAGCCAAACATCATGACACCAGCTGGATGTTTGGTTTGGAACTTAGCTTCACTTTCTCCGGAACATCCTCAAGTTTTTTTTTGATGCGATAAACTGTGACCAAATGACATGCTGCCACCTAGGCAATCTCATTCGGCGCCTTCTGGGCGAGCAGCAAACTCGTAATCCCTTCTTTGGCGTACATTTTCACAAATTAGCAATAAAGCTTCTTCTTTCCTTTATTTAACCTTTGTGTGCCTAACGTCTAAATTTGCATAGATTTCAAAATTAAATTAGCTCTAAAAACATAATTTCTGAATCTTTTTCTTCACAACAAATTGCATTTTGTCGGGAATCTATTGAAGTTTTTGAATCCATCTGAAAATATTTGGATCAATACATGGTTCCGGAGTTATTCTGGTTCCCGTTGGGGTCACTTTTGGTTGGCATTTGGCTTTACTGTTCTGTAATAAGTATACACACGATGAACATCATTTTTTTTCTCTCAAATGATGTAATTGGAACAATGGTAGGTATACTGACGGTCCACGATCACATTGGGCATCCCGGAAATGTTCCGGTGCCCCCGGGGAAGTGGCCAATTCTCAACAAGAACCAAAACCCATCGTGCGACATATCAGATCAGTTGTGCGGCATAATCACGTCAGTAATGGAAAATTCACTGTTGATATAGAGAAAATAAACACGCCTAAAGATGCCCCAAGTAACCACCAAGCCCGCTAACTACCCGATAATCACCCTTTTTGCGATATAAGGTAAATATACGGTTTCCGAACCTTAAATCAGTCGTATAGCAGCCTTATATGCCAAAAAGGGCGATTAACGGGCTTGTTGGTTACTTGGGGCGTTTGAAGTGTTCATGGACTGCAGTATTATTGAAACTATTGTAAAATACACGAATGCGGAAGGTGGCTATGACACTTTATTCAAGCCTGTAAATATAGATTTAATGCATGCGTTTATTGGAATCCTGATTGGTGCCGGGAAAAATCATTATTCCAAAATTAATATTCGGGAGCTATGGTCAAGTGACGAGCTTATGACACGCGTATTTTATTCTGCCATCATGAGTCGAAACAGGTAGTTTTGAGTGTAGCAGGATATGAGGATATCATTGAAGATATATCAATTGTAAATATAGTTAGTTTTCCAATTCGTTATCATTAGTTTTGTGTGTAGTCACGTTAAATTATTTATAGCATGAAAGCTCGTCTTTAAAATTTCAGCCTAAGTTAGAAGAGTTCCAGTAGCTTAAAACAATTCGAATCAGTTCCCTGCGCTATGCTACAAGCGCAAAGGAAATGTCCCGATAGCCTGATAGTTTGCTATCACTTTCGTGCCACAATTTTACCGCATTGGCTTGCGGAAATCGTGATTTGGACTTCGTCCAAATTCGCGTCATCTGAGGACGAAGATCTCCTCTCCTCAGATACCGCGATTTCCTCAGTCCTTAATCTTCCACTTTGTTCTGCTTCGTGGAAGAGGCAAGAGTGGTCAGTGTTTGATCCGTGCCGTGGTGGGTTTAAAAAGGTGTACATAAAGTGACATGAAATCCTAATAGGGCATTTGCTAAATTAATTCTCCTTTCCCTTAGTTAGGCACAAATTAGTTATTAGTGCAAGAAGTTTGGCGGTAGTGTGTGCAGAAGTGAATATAGTCAGGTAAATCTACTGGTTCAGATAACCTTGAGGGCGTGATTGTGATTCTCCCCATGCGTGCATTGGTTTTCCTGAAACTTAACAGGTTCGTGGCTGCGCAAGCCAATTGCCGACACACCACCGTTTCAGTTACGACCGCGTTTGACCCCACCTATCAGCTACAAAGGATCCCGGGGTACACGTGGCCGGAAGAAGGACGCTTTCACCAATTTCGCGCCTTTGGCAGGCAGGCTCACCATCGCTGTATCGGTTAACAGCAACCGAACACGTGCAAGCTACGGTTTCGGCACGCAAGCAACAGCATCCGGACAATCGAGCGTATGTACCACGCTCCACGCGTAAGCCCGCGAATCGGTGTAGGAGACACCCATTAGTTCATCGCATCGATGATAGTTTCCGGACCGAAGTAGTGCGCAACGCAGCTTCGGTACCACCGCCGGTCTCCTCACCAACGCAGCAGAAAATCCTAGGTCCTGAGTACTACAACATGCATGTTATCCGTTTGTGTCGTCCATGGCCATGTGACTCGTAGAGACACAAACTTATCTAGGCAGGGTGTCTACTACCTAAAAAATCCTGGAAAACCGGGAATTTACAGGGAATTTTACTTTTTCTGGAAATACCTGGAATATTCAGGGAATTTTGGTTCCACTCAGGGAATTTTCCAATTATCACTTCATTCGTAATTGAAAAGAAGTTTTTCGTTCAGTTTGTCGAAACGTTTCTTAAGGGCACTGAACTTGACAAGCATCTGACAGCTAAGACAACGTGTGCGAACGAGACAAGTTCATTCAGAGAGTCTTGTCACGCTCGCTCTTCGCTGATTTGTATGAGGAGGATCAAAATCGTCGTAAAAAGGAAACAGTCGAAGAAGAGAGACTGGCAACCGTCATGTATTGTATAAGAATAAGCATGCCAGACAGCAGGTCTGAGAGCCTACATAGATTTTTTTTTTGAGCTTCAGAGAGGGTTGGAGATCTACTGAGAAATGTGTTGAGTTTCAGGGTAGTTCGTAGATCTTGAGAACAGAACTACAAACAAATTAAAAGTAATTAATATAAATTTATAAAAACTAAATCACAAGAGAGGTCGTAGATCTTCAGATCAATGTTCAAAGAAATTTTCTAAACTTCAAGCAAGCAAAAATAATTTCAAATCAATTTGTAAAACTATAAGCGAAATTTTGCAAATCTTCAGGGAAATTCGCATAACTTTAGACAAGTCCAAGAATCTACAGTGAAATATAAAGTATTTCACATAAGTTTGGAGATCCTCGAAACATTATTCAACATCAGAAAAGTTCGTAGATCTTCAGAACAAAGCTACAGAACTTTGAAAAAAAAAAAAAAAAT